TTTCCATTTTCAAGACTGGTGGTGATTACCCCCCCCCTTCAGTTAACCACATGTCTCAGCCCTCTAAGACAGGCTGCAAAGGATGTACCACAGGGTGGGTGATGCACAAGTTGCATGGAGCAACACATGTGTGCTCTACCTTCTTCTCATGTTTGGTGTGGTTTGATGTGGAGGAGAAAGTCTGACCACAGGTATTGTGGTGACACTGGGGTGGAGGAGGTGTCAGTGTATAGGCAAGAGTGCCTAAAAGACCAAGTATGATGATGACAAGAACAACAAGCTGCATGAATGTTGAACAGAGTGGCCCCTTGGCCCAAGGCGTGAGCCACGTTCTTGCGCCTCGGCTACCTGGAATAAATTCAATTTCAAGCTGTCTACAAGAATCCACTTCGTGGGAGGGGGGCAGCCACAGCTGTTTGCCTGCCAAAGAGCTGTTTGCGGTGAATTCAAGGACCCGATGACCGCGTGCGGGTGTGTCGACAAGAATCCATTTCGTACGGGAGAAAAAAAACCTCCGTAGTTTCGAAGTGAAACAATGAAAATAAAAATAAATTTTTTATTTCGAACACAAAAAGAAAAGTCTATAATAAATCAATCATTGGGCACTTATATATTAATTTATTTTTCTAACGTTTTGCTCCGGAACTGCCGGCCATGACGGAGATGAAAATGATTCGTGCGTCTCTCGTTCTTGTGGCAGTTCTGCTGACCATAGCGTCTTGCTCCCCCAGGGCCGATGGCTTTATTGACGTCTCCTCAGTACGTAGGCGTGTCCAAGTTTTGATTATTATAATTTAATAATAATCAATCATTTGATTTTGCCCGATCGGTCAAAACCAGGTCGTGTCCAAGGTTTCCAAGTTGCACCCTCTTCCGAGCTTCCCCGACCTACAGCCTTCGCGCGTGGGGCGGGCCGCCAAGGAAGAGGCCGAGTGCGAACACGGTGTCCACGTCTTCATGATCAGCCACGGGTACACCTCCAACGAGCATCGCCGTGTGCTGCTGGACAAGGCCACCCCACTTCGTGAGGTGCGCGGTCACTTCGGACGGGAGCTGCGGCAGTCGAAGATGGCCGACGACCACGGGTTCGCCTTCTCCGAGAGCGACCTCGACCAGCCGCTCTGGAAGTTCAGCGACCACTGCGCGCTCCAGGTGGGCTTCGTGCACACCTACACTGAAGACGCAAAGCAGTTCGTCGAGCAGAGCGCCCAGCTCCTGCCCTCTTGGGGCCAGAGGAGCGCCTCCGCTGGTGGCCCGCCAGCCGAGATGCCGTAATTACCGGCCTTTGATTTTCGAACCAATCTCTTAAGGGCACAGTATCCCTAGGGCCCTGGCGAAATTTTTTTTGCAAACAGCAGACAATTTCGTATCTGCCCCCTCTGCCCAAGTCCGACCGCCTGCAAGTTGCCGTCGCTACGGAATATGAAGAATTTTATTTTTATTATTAAAATAAAAATAATCCAGCCTTTTCCCTCCGACGGTCCCTTTTCTCTCGCGCCCATCTGCGTGGGACAACAAAGTTAGAAAGGGTGCTGGTGGATAATGACAAGAGAAGGTGCACATACCAGTTGACAAGGTTGGGCAACCCAACAACTCCCTCTATGTCCATGGCCGCTGTTGCCGTCGCCACTGCTGCTTGCCAAGGCCTGCTGCACACGCCCACATCGTCAAGGATGGTGTTGCTTTCCACCTCTGGATCATTGAGGTCTGCCTCTGTAAAGAGTGCAGTGAAAGTTGGCTGCAGTCCACCTGTTGGTGATCAAATAGAGGGTTAGTAACAAACCATAAGATATTCTCCAAAAAGATAGGTGGAAGTGGGGATGTACATTGTGGCTGAAGCTGGCAGTGACAGAGGAATGCCTTGTCCATCTGTACTGGGGCCACCACTGTGGAATGGTGGCTCTTGACATGACAGTCAAGCCAGCCCTTTGCCTTGTACACTTGGCCACAGTTGGGCCAAGTGCACTTGTATGTGGGCGAAGCCTCAGCAATCTGCCAATGCTTTGCTGAGGGCAACAGGGTGGCAGAGGAAGAGGAGGGCGAAGAGGAGGAAGCAGAAGCAGAGGGAGATGAAGAGCAGGAGGATGGAGGGGAAGAGGAAGAGGACTTGGCAGAAGAAGAGGATGAAGAGGGTGGTGCTGAGAGCAATGATGGCGTTGAGGGTGACTGAGATGAGAGTGAGTCAAGACTTGAATGTATTTTAAGATCAAAATTGGGGGAAAAAGGACACACCAGTGGGTTCATGACATGCTCAATGACAAGCTGTCACAGCTCAGCCAGCTTCACACTGTTCTTAAATGGGGCATTATGGTGGCGAAGGTAGGCCTTGAGGTGGTCTTTCTTCACTGTGAACACAAACAAAATAGTATGACATGTTAAGTGAGGGCACAAGCGCAAGTGCAAGCACAAGGGCATTGGCGTGGGTGCAGGCGCAAGTGTGGGCGCAGGCATGGGCACAAGTGTGGGCGTGGGCGAGGGCGAGAGCGAGGGCAAGGGCACGAGGGTGTACATTCTCCCAGGCGTTGGCCATGGATGGTCTGGGCCACCCACACTGCTGTCTTTGGCCCTCCATAGACTGGTTTGTGGTGGCATGGAGCACTATCACGCCACCGCCCTATGTCAAAGAGTATTAGAAAAATTGAGAAAACAAAGTATAAAAATAACCTAAAAAGAACAGATTATGCACACCTGTTTCCTCTTTCGCCCTCACCTTGAAGAGGAAGTGCTTGTGTTGAACATCTGGGTGGTGGTTGTGAGTGTTGTGCTTCTCATGCACCTAAAAATGTGTGGTGCAGCAATAAAAATGAATAAATAAAATGAGCATGTTATTTGTAAAAGGCAATACCTCAACCAGCCTGTCCCACCAGCTGTGCTGGCCAGCAGAAATGTGTAGACTGAGATGGCAAAAGAGGTTGAGCAATGATTTGCAAATAGGAAAATAGAAAAGGTTAGGAAAATCAGGAAACACAAAATGAACTAGTGGTAAAAGAATAGAGAACTGTTGTTGCGCTTGATGATGCTGGCGTCAAAGAGTGCCCCATACATGATGGTCCACTGGTGCTGCTTGTCAACATGCTTGGCTGCTGTCCCATTGAGGGACTTGTTCTGAATTGTTGAAAACCCATGCATGTAGCACTGGCAGTCATTGATGTAGCCCTTGATGAGGTCCTTGAGCTTCTTGATCACTTCTGGGTGTTCATTGGCATCAACCTACATCACACCAAGTGAAGACCATATTTTAAAATAATAAAAACCAAAATAAAGAAACAGATATTTGTGGGTGCAAGTATGAGGGTGTGAGGGTGAAGGCGAGTACCTTTGGTGGCTTGGGGGGCTGCGTGCTGTGGCTGCACCAATGATGGTGCTGGTCTGTGATGTGTGGGATGAAGGCCTTCATGTGTGTGGTGAAACCCAGCTCGTTCTTCTTGAATTTTTTGATACCTGTGCTCACGAAAGGGGCATTGGGGGTTCGGGTGAGAACATGAGGGTGAGGGGTTGTGTAACATGAGAATAGGGGAGGGGAAGTACAGACCAACAAGAAAATGGGCCTTCAGACTTGCCATGACAATGTTGAGCGCTGGATGCTCATGGCACAGGTTGGTCACGTGCTTGGCAAGGCCCTTGGTGTAGTGGTTGGGGTCCCTGTTGACTGTCATTGTGGCATGATGAGTAGTGTGTGTTGAGGGCAATGTTGGCCTTGGTGTGGCCTTGGAGGTGGCGTAGCTGCTTGGTGCAGGATACATCGCCCAGGACTGTCAGTGTGGGAGCGATCTAAAGATTTTAAAATACATTGGTCAATTAAGAACTTGATTAAGACTAAATTGACAGCATCACATACCTGCTCACGCATCAGCCGTGTGAACTTGGATTTGCTGAGGAGAGGCACCCCACCCCCCAGGGTGAAGACAGTCTTGAGTGCCTCAAAGCTGAGACCCTGGATGCCCCAGGCAATGGCAAGGCATGTTGGTGCGTCCCAGCAGTGGGAAGTGGGAAAGATGCATGAGGAGGAGGAGAAGGGGGTCTTGAATGTACAGTCCTGCTGGTTGCAGCGGACTCTCATCAAGAAGCCCCCATTCTCCTCCCTCCATCTAATGCAGTGGAGGGAGAGCTGAAGACAGAAGGGGCAGGCGAGGAGACAAATGAAGGCAGTGAGCTGATGCAGCTCAAGGAGGGCCCAGTCATGTTGTGGCTGGTCTCTCTCACATGCCCATGTTCGAGGGGCAGTCACTGGGGGGGTCAGTGGTGTTGCTGCTTGTTGTCTTGCTGCCCACCAGTCGGCCTCCCTCTTCCATCTTGCTTGTTGCTCCTTTTCTTGTTGTTTCTCACTTTCCTTTTCCTTCTTCTCCTTCTCTCTCTCCCATTCTCTCTCCTGCTTTTGATGTCGCTCATCAGCAGCATGCAGTTGCTGCTGTGTCTCAAGAAGCTGTCACTGGGAAGCTTGGTGCTGCTCTTCAGCCTGCTGCTTGGCCACTTGGCGCTGCTGCTCAATCTGCCACTCAGCTGCTTGGTGCTGCTGCTTGGCCTGTCACTCAGCTGCTTGGTGCTGCTGCTTGGCCTGCCACTCGACTGCTTGGCGCTGCTGCTTGGCTTCTTGAAGCTGCTGCTTGAAGTCTTTGTGCTGCTTTTTCATGTTGTGGAGGGCAGAACTGAGCTGTTTCTTTACCTCATGTGCCCTCTCCTCAACCATGTGCAGCTTAATGGCTATGGGCTGGATGGCTGCGTTGGCCACCTCAGCCATAGCTTGCTTCTTCACTTGCTCTTCTCTCTCCAACCTCTTCTTTTCTTCCTCCCTCTCCTTTCTCTTCTTTGCTCTCTCTACCTTCCTTCACTCATCTTGTCTCTTCCTGTGAGCCCAAAGCAGGGCATCTGTCTGACGACAAGCAGCTTCCTGGAGAAGGCAAGTGTGATCAGAGTCATTCTGCATCCCTTCCTCCCTTCTTCCTTTGGCTGTACGGCTGAAGCCAAAAGACCCACACCGACCTTCATGAAGTCCTTCCTTGAATAAATTCACTTTTATTTGGTGAACCCAGTTTTTTCAGACATACTTCACATTTCTTGGCAACGGCAGGTCTGCTTGGGGGGGCAGCCGCGCAAAAAATTTGGGCTAGGGATACTGTGCCCTTAAAAATCGTAAATTGGAATAAATTGAAATAATAAAAACATAACTAAAGCGACGATGAGGCAGCGGAACAAGATTGCCGACAAGCTCGAGGCGGAAGATGCAGCAGCCGCACGCGTGCATGTGGAGGCGCTGTCAACAACAGCGGCAAGCCTGCGCTGGGCTCAGGCTCGCTCGTTCCTGGTGGACCACCTGCCCCACTCCTGGAAGCTCTTTGGTCCGTTTTCTTTTCAATGACCTTCTCTCCTTCCCCCAGCCGTGCTTGTGCTGACGTCACGCTGAAGGGCCGCTGTTGTGGTTGGAGACGGCCCACGGAGCGCCGCGCAGCGCCGACCACCGGTGGTTCGTGGCCAGGTCGCCGCGGTCGGAGGCCGAGGGCGACGAGGTGCGCGGCGTGCTGCTGGTGAAGCCACGGGGCAACGGCAACGTTGTGTCGTCGCCCAACGTGTCCCTCTTCGTACCACCGCGGACCGGCCCGGCCGGCGAGGCGGTCGTGCGCGCGCTGCTGGACCAGGTCGAGTTCATGGCCGCCAGCGGCGGAGTGCACGTGTCGGGCCTGGCCCAGGAGTGGCTGCCCCTCGTGCGGGAGCGTGCGGCGGCCGCCGGTGCGCGGGAGTCGTGGCTCCTGCCGTGTCTCGCACTCCACTGCCCCGAGGCCCGCTTCGTGCCGCAGCCCGACCCATCGGCTCAGCTCCTCGCCCAATCGCTCCGGCTCGACACCATCTCGCCCAGCAGTACGCGCGCCGTCTTCGTTCTTTCTTCCTTTTTCGTTCTTTTGCTCACACGGGAGAGGTGCGACAGATCCGTCGGACACGGAGCTGGTGGTGTCCCAGTGGAAGTACTCGAGCGAGGAGAAAGACGACTACATTGCCACGTGTGTGGGCCACGCCCCGTCCACATGCATTCGGCAAGGTGAGGTCCTAACCCCTCTATAATCTGTGTGAGGTTTGTTTTATGTCCGAATTGTGCGACCATCGACCAGGCGAGGAGATGGTGGCGTGGATCGGCGTGCATTCCTACATGGCGCTCGGCTTCTTCTGGGTGCAAGAATCGCAAAGAAGGAAAGGTTCGGCCGTCTTCGTTCTTTGCTTCGTTCTTTCTCGCCTCATCGTGCGCGTGGACTATCCGTCGGCGTTGCAGGGCTGGGAAAAGTCATCGCGGCGGAGCAGACGCGCAAGGCGTTCGACTACGTCCGGCCATACCTCCAGCCCGAGCACGTGGGCGCCCACGCTTTCACCGAATCCGTCAACGATGCCTCCAAGACGCTCCTCCAGAGCCTCGGCTTTGAGGTACTTCCTCAACTCTACTCTCGGCCCTCATCCGCACAGAGTGAACCCTTCCCTCATTCCGGCCATATAGATCTACGGCGAAGTGGTTTGGGCTGCTTTCGAGCCTGACCGTAAGCCAGGTACGCCGACGACCGCAGCAGCGGCGATGGCCAAGGTGAACTTGGCAGAAAAGCTCTCCCTCTTCACCGAGCACTGGAGCCCTAAGATCGTGGGCGAGGTGCGCCACTCCTCCTGGCCATGATATTCACAGGAGCGATCTTGACTTTTTTATCTCCACGTCAGGTGGACAATTTCGATGTGAAGGTGGCCAAGCTGAAGGGCGAGTTCGTGTGGCATCACCACGAGCACGAAGACGAGCTGTTCCTCGTCATCAAGGTACCCGCTCACTTCCAGCTGGCCTGGGAAGATATAGCCCATCGTAACTCTCTCTCTCTTCTACACCACATACCAAATGCAGGGTGATCTGGTCATCAAGGTGCGAGAACACGACGGAGGCGAAAGGGACATCGACCTGCACGAAGGCGACTTCTTTGTGGTGCCCAAGGGCGTCGAGCACAAGCCCGTAGCCGCCGAAGAGGTGCTCGAGCACCCACTCACCCCTACACCCGCGTTCTGCACCGACTCACTGCTGCTCTGGCCACTGCAGTGTCACGCGATGCTGCTGGAGAGGCGCGGGGTACTCAACACCGGCAACGTGCGCAGCCAGCAAACGGTGGACAGCCCACAGCACCTCTAGGGGTGAACCGTTCGCACCCCAAGTGGTAGCACGACCAGGATTGAGACAGCCCCGGAAACGAAAGGGTGGTGAAGCGGACGCCTTTTTCACGGGAAGAGGTCCAAGCTTTGTGGGGGTGCTGGTTGCTTGGCGGCAGGCGGCCTGCTGCTCCGCGCTGGTTCGCTCGTGTCGAAGGTGATGGCGCACACGCTTTGCCCCTCAGTGCCTCCCGCCACTAGGACGTTGTCATGATATTGCCCCTGTGTGGCGTGTGGCGTGTGGCGTGTGGCGTGTGGCGTGTGGCGTGTGGCGTGTGGCGTGTGGCGTGTGGCGTGTGGCGTGTGTGCGCACGCAGTGATTGCATACGAGTGAGTCGCAATTGCGGAGAACTTGGCCGACCAGTTCATGTAAGTCTGGCGGTGGGGCGGCGCACCATTCGGACCATGCCCAGGGAGGGTTCGATGGTGTGCCACAGTTCCAGCGTATCGACGTCCCACACTAGATTGCGCCAATCATCATGTGATGGCACATTTACGCCTCTATGTCAGTTACAGCGCAGCAGGAGGGGAGCAAATGCGAGTGGTACCGTACCTTTGATCGTCTTGTCGTTGCTACCGGACACCAGCTTCTCGGTGTCGAATTGTACCTTGGTAACGGGGGGGGGTAGAGCAACTAAGTTAGTTTCCGCCTCCGCCCTCCGCCCTCCGCCTCCGCCTCCGCCTCCGCCCTCCGCCC